CCCCAAAACCCCAAAACCCCAAAACCCCGTTAAACTAGAATCAAAATTAATTTACATCCAAGTATTTGTAGATAATAAAACTAAATTTATTTTGCTAATCTGACTTTCCTATAGTTGCTGTATTCAAAAGACTCCTAGTCTGTCCATTTCTTCATTTAGAATTCTCTCATGATCGGAGCTTTTGCTTACTATTCTTTCAGATGCTTTAGCTCTCTCTATGCCAAAGATTTTCTCCAATCTTTTTCTTTCATTTTCATCGGTAATTTAGCTAAGCTTGAATTCTCTCTCAGCTTCTGATCTTTATTCTTCCTCTAAAACTTAGAGCAGTTCTCTATTATGCTTTTATCTAAGCTATTCAATCATTTTTTGAGATTCTTATCTTGATGCTTTCTTTCTCATTGATTTATTTTTATTTCTATTGTGATTTATTCGGAATCCTTATTCCTAGTTGTTTAAATTCTGTGTGCTTAGAGATCCATCTCTTCCTCTATGAAAACTCATTGTCTTAAACTGAGGTTATGGTGATGAAAAACCTGCTTATGACATTGAATTTCCAGCATCCGGTCCAAGCTTACTCATCTCTTTATTCACTTTGCCTTTTAATTTTATCTTTTCAAACATTTCCATCATTTGTTACTTCTGCAAATCAGCTTACTTTCTCATTTCTCCTCTAGCTATCAGTAATGCTTCCTTTTCTGCTTTGAGTTATTGTGATCTTATGTCATCCCCAATAATTTTCTCGAGGACTTTTTCTCTTTGATATTGCTATATTTTCTAAATTCTTTCAACTGTTTCTTTTCGATCGTTTCTTTTTAGATTTTCTAGCTCTTTTCTTAATCTATGCTACTCTTCTCTTTGCTACTGTGTCATATTTACTTTGTAATCGGTCATTTATCTTTTATCAATAATCTATTTTTTTCTTTGCTCTTCAATACTTACCATGTTGTGAATAACTTCTTCTCGATATTTATTTTTCTCTTACTCCATTTAATGTCTTTACTTTCTTTACTATTCAGCCTATTCATCTAATTATCTTTTTCTCTCTTCAGCAATTTATTGACTCCTTAAGAATTCCTGTTTTCTTTATTCTTCAATCATCTCATTTTATTTTTTTACCAATTCAATTTATCTTTACTTTTCTTGTGCCATCCTTTCATTCTCAAGTCTTTCTTATTCTCTTCTTCTCTCAAATTACAATCTTTGTTCTTCAGCCTACCTTTCTTTTTCTGTAAACATTCTCCTTTGCTGCCTTAAAATTTCTTCTTCTTTTTCTCTTACCTATTATATTTTTCTTTCCTTCTCTATTCGCTTCTACTCAGATTCCATTAACTTTGCTCTTTATTGTTATGCTAGAAATTCTTTCCTTTCTTAATCTTTTCTATCCATCTCTTATCTCCTACGTTCAACTTCTTCCTGTTATGATCTTAATATCATCTCTGTTTACTTTTAGAATTCTAGTTGTTTCAACTTAGCCTCCTCCTCTTTCATCTTAATTTCTCTTTATCTCTATAAATCTATCATTTTTTATTATTCTGCCTTCTCCTGATCCTTTTTATATTGCTCCTATTATTTTCTTCTTTGAATTTCTGCTTCTTATTCTGAAATTTATCATCTTCTCTCTTCTTCTTAAGCTTTTTTTGCTTCTTATTCTTTTTATTTATAGAATAATTCTTATTATCTTTGTTCTTCTTTTTATTTTTCTTTTATCTACTTTTCCTCATTCTTGTCTCTTATCTCTTGCATCTTTCTTTCATATTCCATCATCTATTCAATTTCCTTTTGCTATTTTTGCTTTATTTTCTCTAATGCTTGTCTCTCCTTCTCAATCATTGCACTATCCATAGGTCCTGAACTCAATGCTTTACTAATTGGGAGCACACTATTCTTCTTACCAGCAGATGAAACTCCTCCTAATCTTACAGGACTATTACCACTACTATGATTTGATAGCTAATTTCTAAATGCTGATCCTTTATCAGGTGACCAGACACCTTTTTTTTCATCACCCAAGACAGTTAATCTTTCATGTGTCAAAATCTATAATTTTTCTCTTCTTCTTTACTCAAAATGCTCATATCTCATCTGAATAATTTAAGGAGTAAGCGAATTCGCTTCGATTCCCAAGGATTTCTTGAATTTTTTTAAACTCTGAAACACTAATTCTCTTGGCTCAATGCCTTACCTACGACATGCCTCTAAAGATCTTGGACTATTGATCAGCAAGGCATCCTTAGCTGAATCATCAAAATTTTCAAGTGAGATATATTTCTATATTGATGTCAAATTAACAAAAATATTCATACTTTTCCTCCCATTAAAGATAATTTTATTTATTTTTCTAGCTCAAAACAAGATTTTTTAATTCTGTGGGGTTTTGGGGTTTT